CCCCCCCCCCCCCCCACAAATGTACAAGTAGCTCTTTTGCCTTCAAGTCTCATTGTTGGCAAAGTTCAGAGGTATTTTACAAAGAGAGAATAAACTTGGCAATTTTAGTAATTACAAGTTGTAAAGGCCATTTACACCACGTCGGAAAAATTCAAGGGACCGTATGGTCGTAATGGAATGCGTCTGATGCCAAGATAGTGTACATCGGGAGTGGCATCAAACTGCCTATGCTTAACCCTTATACTTTTACTCAACAGTGTAAAAATTGCAAGCTGTTTTGGGTTTTTTCGGAACATCTATTCCCTGCTGCCTCTCTCAGGTCAATTTATTTGGAATCGCAAATGTGGCTCCGTTAGGCTGTTATGGCAAGCACTACGAGGCGTCAATTTGGCATTAGTCGTAGGCAGCGTAAAAAGTGCCAAAATCAGGTCGGTCGAGCAAGTGCACTCTACCAGATCAAATTATACTTCCGACGCAAATAAACGGCAATGTTTTTCAGTTGCCAAACCGTAGATTTTAGTCGCAATTTCTTGAACCCTGCTTTTCCTTTTACTGGCACCTCAAAATACAAATTTTATTGATAACATCTCGTATTTGCCCTATCAAACCACAATTTGTTGGTCACACTTTGCTCCCAGGCTTAGTAAGTAGCGTAGTTTGAGAGTTCCGTGGGAAATTCGCTCACTACGCGCATGTCCTATTCCTAGTGGCTACGACTACGTAATCTCAGAGTTGGACCGTAAGGATGCAAAAAAAGGCGTAATAGTTATTTAGAATTTATGGTTCCTTAAGTGAGCTTTATAGGCGAGGGACAAAAACGCAACTTGAAACTCGTTCTCAAGGGGCGAGGCTATCTCTTTGCCTTAAAATAACACCATACAACACCCCCCATTCCTATTCATCGTTATTCCTTTTTTTCCCTTTAGACAGGTAGAGGTGTCCGAAAATGACCAAGTTCCTTGTGTATCTTCACAAACCATTTAATCATTTTTATCTCTTCTCAATTTAAGATTTACGACTAAGATGTGCTTGAGAATGCAAACGTATATCTGCTTAAAAAGCTTGTACTCACCACGAAATTTAGCCTTCACGACTCGTTGACCCTTTCCACTAAGACCATCCAAGAGCTTAACATCCAACTGCAATGACATGATTCATGAGTCAATTGGAGTAATGACTGCTCTTCTGCAAACGATCCCTCCAAGCAGACCCGAAGAATGTTACAAATGTAGGGCCAATCAGAGGCTCATCACATTTGACGCAGGCGCACACACAAGCGCATGATCATACAAATCGTGGAGATTGTTTCCAGGTTGAACACATGGTCTCTATTGGTGCGACACTGACTCAACATGCGGTTACACAATGCGAGCGCAGACACCGCACACACGCACACGCACACGCACGACAAAATGTGGGGCGGATACATTGTAATTCTCGATTTTGAAAGAAACCCGTTTGCTACTGTGAGCGGTGACACTAAAACGTGAGTGTTACGATTTCGCTGTGCAGCTTAAATTCCATAGATTTTGAGGGCAATCGGAATAAAAGGTCGGTAGAAGGATTAATACTGTTTCGTAGGTTAGTAATTTCGTGGGGAAGACACGGTAAGAGAACTACCAGGACCATTAATTTGGCCATGGGCGGAGTATTGAGATCATGAATTCTGATACTTGTTTGTACAAAAATGGCGTTAATGCAGACAGGAGTTAGTGGACTACACTAAAGTATTTTGACAAATGCGCCACTTCAAAATTTTGAGGTCAATGAAGCCGATTTTAAGTTTATCCTGTTGCTTGTGCTTATGCGATTTTACCACCCTCGCATGTCTCAAAATGCTTAATTTTTCTTATTCTTTGAGTTCAATTTGGAACCACATGATGCACAATTATTTGCATTAGTTAAAGTAGCATGAACTGTGAGGGAGAAATTCTGAAGGGTGTGTGAGAAATAAGCCAACGCAGACACTGACAAATAACCAGATTTTCTCAGAAACAACAGAAAATCTCAACTGGCATTTCTTTGAAATCGCGTGTTAAAATCTCTTTCCGCCCCTTTGTCACACCGTACAAGCCATACGCGCAGAGTTTAGGCCTTTTAATCTCTTAGATTAAACTATTTTTTATTCACTTATGAGCTCTTGTTGTTCAGTTTTGTAACAATGCAAAATCCAAATGCGCATCGCACAGCAACCAAAGCTAATCTGAGGACATTTCCGAAAGCTCACCAAGCGTAATAACTCGACTGGCAAATATCTAACCAAGTCTCCGCACTGTTTGGATGTATGAGGCTCTTCGAAACCTACAAATCCACTACATCTTGGGATCGATAAGGGAAGGTGAAGGAGTTCTGTAGTAAATAAACACAACGAACTTTGAACGCGACTTGCATCAGTTTGCCTAAATAGGCGTTATGTTCGCTATGTACCACCTTCCAAAGGTGCATGGCCTCTATGGTCTAAAGAAAAATCCTGCGAAAATAGTGTCATTTACAGTGTAATGTGAAAGTAAAAAGTATGCGGGCATCCAGCCGCAATTTCGAGTCAGCTTGCAACTCATCGAAATGGTGAAGTAGACACAAGCGCATGAAAGACAGCGCTTAGTTGTCGATGCTCTATCCACTCTAACAGTAATAAAAGGGCAAGATAAATTCCACCGATAATAGACAGCTGTTTCCTAACCTTATCGCATAAAGCCAAAAGCCTTGTCTCTAACATCTTTACAAAGCGAATGTCCTATGTGAACTAGGCCAAGGATCGTGACGTTGGCGCCGCTCGAGGGGACTGACAAAAAGCATTAAACAAGACTGTCACCTTGGGCAAGTTCACTTTCTTTTACTTCCGTTTTGGTCTCAGAATAACATAGCAATGTAAACTAAAGAAGCTAGAACGCTTCCCCGCACCCTCATCTGTGACTCATAAATAACATTCGCCAGTGTTTTGAAGGGCTCCTGGGTGGATTTTGCATGAGTACGGATTAATGAAAACAGATAATTAGCGATTTTTAATCATCAATATTTTTTTGTGAATTACAAATTGTTAGTTTAGAAATGACAGTAATAAGAAAAAAGCAACATATATGATACATACGAGCGTATAGGAAACGATCCAATGGCAACTCCTGCTCATATTAAAATTTGCCTTTATATTTCAAAGGAAGCTAAGTAGCTTTCATAAGCTATCTACAAATTTTTTGAAAGATGGGGAAGGTTTAAATCAGACGCATTAAACGTCGGAAAAGACGCCACCATAATCGTTGACACCGACGCCATAGTTGGAGTTGAGAGTGGGATAGCGATTTCGCTGTTGAGATTGATGATGTATGCGACGATTGGTGGTAATGTCCCCAAGGAGAGAGCGGTAAGGCGTGGGCTGGTTGGTGAGCTTCTCTCGTACTCCCAATCCGCCGAGCACGAAAGTGCTTGGTCTGCTCGCCCACACCTCTAGCAGAGTCTGGAGGCAATGCAGTAGTCCAAACAGACCCACAGTTGTGTCCCCTGCCAGCACTCGAGTGACCGAGAAGAGTCGGTGCTAAAAACCACGATTGATAAACAATTTATTACCCTCAACAAATCACCCATTTGCACACTCATTCACCTATCAAAACTACCGACTCCTTGCTCTCAACTTTTCCTTTAATCCGATTAATCCAAACCATGATCGACCAAATGGCATAATTGTTGTTTACAGATGACTATTTTTACAACATATGGACTCCATTTAAAGAGCAAACAAATGAACAGCCTTATTATCATCAATTAACACTTCTTGAAGCGTGTACATCTATCATCTTTGAAGATTTGTGAACAGTTGAAGATGGTACACTGTTCAATCGCCCTCCCTTCACGGAATCTGCAATGATTACTCGGGCAAATTTATTTGATGCCTACTGCCTCAAAAAGCCCCTCCATTAACAAATGCTGCATAAGCCAAATACTTTGACCTCATTTTGTTGTATTGTGATAAGCATATTATGTTCCTGTTTGTTCTGCCCAGGTGCGGCACCACAGCTATGCTTTACCTACCGCATTAAATTCTACTAAAATGCATAAGTAGAACAAACCTTTGGAACGCCGACATTGTGAATTACCTCGCGGCTACTAAACAAATTTTGACGCGCACGAAACCTCCACGAACTTCCAGATACTTCGTAAATCTAAGGAACACGAAAAAAAATTGTCCGAAATAACATGTTCATCTCACTAAGTCATATAAAATTCGCGCTTTGAAATGTAGACAAATTTCAATACTCAGCCAATGTTGTCTTTATTGACAGCAATAAACCGGCTAACCTTTTTTATTGCCTTATAACCAAGAAAGCTGTTGAGGAATTCTGCCAGACAAATCCCCGTTTTGAGCTCATTTGCCAACTCAACCGGTGTTGATGGCAGGTTGATATCCAAATGGGAAACCAAAATCTATAAAGAATCGAAAAAATGCTCCTTTATTTAACTAAAAAAGGCGCTCGCAGTCATTAATCTCAACCGCACCATAAGAAATTGCAAATGAATGCTTGATTGCTACATAGTCTACTAGCAACTCAGCAACAATATTAAAATGATTGACTACTTCGCGTATTTTCTTGTCTTAATCTGACACAAAGAAAATGTGCTGCAGGAGGGATTGGTTATTTAATGAAAGAATAATTCGAATATAGCATAATTAACGCCATAGCAGTTTTGACATATCAGTGTATCTAGAAGAATTTTGTGAGCAAATGGTAGGTTTGGCAATGCCATGGTGCTTGAGTTGCTAAGCTTAGCACGATTAATCTTATTCAGATGGCAAAAATGCACACAGTGCAGAGCGGCGTTATTGTCTTCGTTACTACTGCCTCACTCCACGTAGACTCGCCTCAAAAGCATTGTGAATCATCTCATCACGGAAGTGGCACGCATGTGCATATCAGCCAAGCGTACACATGATGATGGTATAATAATTGTGTTACAACAAACCATCCGGAGGGATTCAGCGGTGGATCGCCACAATTCGTCGTATTGGTGAGTCTGAGGATAGAGAGGCCGAGGGGATGGTAGGGTTTCGTAGGAAGGAGAGAATGTTGCATTTGAACGGTCATCTCTATATGGCCGCCTCCTCACCTGGGAAGCGAGTTGTTGCCGCAGGAATAGATTTGGATTCACCTAAAAATTGATTGCAAGTTTCATCAATTTCGTGAGTGTTCGAACCAATGCACTGTTAATCACCTGAGATCATCTGCAGTTGCCTCGACAACTCTTACGATAATATCACTAAGCCGTGAATAAAGAGCGCTGATAGGTAGCGGTGATTTTGTTCGTTAACGTGAGAACACCCCTGATTTCCCTTCAACTTCAAAAGTAATTTAAAGCATTCCTTAGAGGAGAGATGTGCTCCAAAGGGAATCCAGACATAAAAGGTTTCGGAAAATTATCTCAAAGTTCATCCAAATTAATATGTGGTAAGGTGGTTTGAGGGAAACAAACCATTTTTGCTTCGCTAATGTGTGCATTTGCGAAATGAAATTTGTAATGGCTGACATCTGACGGATGAATCGGACTCATTGCAGCACCTACCATTAGTTTCTGCAATTATTTTAAACGAACGAAACTGAAGAACCATTAATAGAAATGAGTGAAGTTAAAGGACAACAACAAAATGTGTGAAAAGGCTGTGCACAACTAAATATAATACATCTAACTTCAAAATAGTGTAATAATGTAGCTACTAACCAACATAGTTTAGAGCTTAAACGATGAGAGTATGTGTGCTTGGAGGATACATAAATGTTAGCGCACCTTTGGCTGAACGGACTCGGTAGCTTGACCATGCTTCAAATAACGGTGATGCTGGTGTAGGGATGCGGCGTTGGGTGGGATGGATTGCCTGGGACGAGGCGTCAAATGATGTTGGGTGGACAATGACGAGGTAACATTGAGTGGAAAGTGATTTCGAAGACGTGGGACGGGTAGATCCTCACAGGATGAGTCCGTTGAAGAGTCGTCATCAGAACCCTCAACCACCCCCCTAGGGGCATATGATGTCTGCTGCAATTGGGTTGGAGTTATGATGTTTTGAGCGCGACACAAAATTCAACTATAGACCCGAAAATACATGCTTGGTTTTTTATTTCTGGCATTCTTGATAGGTTAAAAAATGTCTCCTGAAGACCTAAACATGTTTCCTATTCCATCCGAAAATAGCTCTGATGTCATCATGGTGCACACATGTCGAGTGGCCGTGGGGAACCGAGCAATCACAGCAACTTATCATTCATGCAGAGGTACTTGGATAGTACCAATCGCGAAGTAAACGTTTGTCGAATCGTAATAGATTATGAAGCAATTTATTAGACTCTCTGATTGTTTCTGAAGTTCTCTATAAATTTCTAGGAGCAGGCTTTTAGTCTGCAATAAGTGAAAATATTCAGGTTAACAATGCACAGACCGACTATAATGTAGGGCGTTATTGTGCTGCTGTAAACTGGCTAAGCCATACGCATAAGCTGGAGCTTGAGTTTTAATTTGTTAATATGTAAATAACGTCATTTAAAAGACCACTCTTTTGTGCGCATCTTGAGGTTGTTGAGTGACGAATGGGAAAAAAGTAAACTTTTTCCGATATCTGAGTGTACCGATACTTAGAGACGCAAATTTTAGGCATGCTTTGGCTCATTTTTAAAGAAGGTTTCACATGAATCTCATTTCGACGTCTTATTTTCATAAGTTACAAGTCACATGATGGTGACTGGCTGCTAACAGTCTGTGAACAAATGTGCTTAATTTAAAGGCAGTAGCCAAAAGCAGCGACTTGGTCCAATCACCGCTAAGGCTTGCAAATGCTACATTTGTGCTTTGGTTTTTGGTGGCAAGCTTCAACAAACACTGAAGTATGTTTAAAACTTTTGCGTAAAGTCTTTTACTTATCCCGTTCGTTCTTTTTGGTAAATCGATTCTGGATTTTAGCTATTTTAAACAAGATAATATCGGTATCTGACGGTTTTTTAACTGCTCAAGTCTCAGTAAACACAAGAAACTATTTGTTTTAAGGACTGACTGATCAAGTTCATTAAATTCACTTTAGAAGCAACTTCTAGTGCCTATCACACCAAGTGGACTCAAACTTTTTGACAATGCACAATTACTCCGTGCCTTTGAATCTACAACCCATTACCAACTCACCCCCTAAAGTAATATAAGGTTTACCAACGTCCATGTAAACGATAAACACGGTGTTGTAGCTGTATTAAAGTACCTTTATTACTCTGACAATCGTAGCATTCTGAGCACTTATCGAGTGGAAAAGCCTTTCTATTGCGTTGAAAAGTGACTTGCAAAGCCGGCAGCCCCTATTTATTTCACTTATACGTGCAAACTCTAACCACAGAGTATGGAATGAAGTTTATCATTAACTTGTTCTCTACCTTGCCGGCACGCTAATGGCTACCTCTGTTTTACTCGCTTAACGGCAATCTGTTTGATAAACTTTATCGATGGTCCTTGATAATTGTGTTTGACCATCATTTGCCAGGTGAAATAAAAATAGAATACCCTCGTTTGAGATCGATCATTGGGAAGACGAGAGCTAGGAGAGTGCATTGTGGGAGAGTAAGAGCGCTGTGGACGTAGAAGAGGTCGAGCTTTGGACAAACTTGCATTCGACATTCTCGGGAGAGGCACCAATGGTTGTGGTTTCCGCGGAGGAGGAGAAGGTGTCCTCTGCCGAACATAAAGCTTGCATCCACTGGCAACTGCAGAAGGAACTATCAAGGCAGGTGCTGGACTAATCCTCCGACTTATAGAAAATACTGTTATATGGTTTGAGAGTTAAGTAATTGGCAATGTAGTGGCTAACTAATGAATAACGTGAGCCTATAAGCGATTCCTAACTGCTCTCTAAATAGCTATGCCTACGCCTTTAATGCGTCAGCCATGAAGAGTAACATTTTGGGAGTACTTAATCTTGAATGATGATTTGGACAAACTCACGAGTGCTGCGAGGTGGGGGCTGAGGCCTATCAGAACTTCCGAGAATTAGCCTGCAGTGTTCCTGGTTCATTTTCTAGGAAGAAATATCACGAGTTTTCATGGTGTTTGCATCCATTTAATCGCGCACCTACGCATACCTATACGGAGTCAACGCCTGCGCTGGTGCAAACTACTTGCATGTGAAAACCACCTTAGATCATGAATGTGGTTGTGCAAGTGCGTATGTGTAGGGCTGGTAGAGGTACAGAGCGAGGGGCTAATCGGTATTCAGCGAGCACTTTCTGCGACCAATCCCCATAGTCAGGTGATTGGGCTTAAGCAATCAGGTCAACATAGAGGCGACCAAATGTACTGAAAAAGACTAGTACGAGAAGTGTTGTTGTAAAGCCTACTAAATGAAAGGCATAAATGAGGCTAATTAAAAGTAAATATAAGGAACTATGCGATACCATGCAGTCGTACAGAGAGATGCGCCTGTTTTCCTTTTATCATACAAATGAGCTTAGATGAAAGCTGCAGGCTCTGCACTATTCTAATGGCTCTTTCAGAGTTGCCAAGATTTTGTTGAAACACATAATTAAGTTGTAATACTGGCTAGCTGGATACTTTCGCGAGGGGATCACCAATAAATCGCAAAAAATGGAAAAATATAATGCTTCGTCATCTTTGCAGCTCAACGAAAGCTGGCAGTATGAATAAATGCAATCTATTTAGGTATGCGTGATTTTCCTGAGCTCTCGTTAAAAACTATAGTACTTATGATGAAAGCTAACAGTTATTTCGTAATTAGCACTCTCAATACAAGGTAATGTTAACAGTGTAGTTAATTAAAAAAATCGCAGTAGAGACAAACTTATGCTCTGCACTTTGGGATGCTTTCCTATGCCCTTTAATCTTCTGTACATATCTCATATGATTAGACACGTGCGCGCTTCGATAATCACATCAGCCATAGTTTGCTATTCACGTAAACATCCGAAACCTGAATAATTCCATTTGCATAAAGTGCATGAGTTGAACTATTTTCATTTTGCGAGAATTCTGAATCTGTTCTGTGCAATAGAAGCCTGTGTTAGCTGATGACCATGACTGCTACTACAAAGAAAACCCGTTTTCATGACGCGAAACGGCTCCAAATTCCACGCCAATTTAAAAGCATCACTAAATTGTAGCGCCTTTCACCAACACTCATCCACGTCTGTGCAACCACTGGAGCAATTTAGTGCACCAATCACTTAAAAGTGATCGAATCCCCTCAAATCTCATCCCTCAACGAAGTCATAATTCAATCGTATTGTACAGCATTAGAAGTAATATGTGCCAGTGACCTTTTTAGATGCGTGCCTCTGAAAAGTATCATCAGTTCCACAATAATAAGCGCCTCAAGACCTTTAGGACCTTTAAAAAATTGCAGCAAACTACCGCCTTAGATCTGCAAATAGGGCTTAAAACCCTGCAAAGCATTTGAGTAGAAAGAGGCGAAGTTATCGGTGCGCGCAAACAAGGTAGAGTAATTGAATAGAAGACGAGAATGCCCTAGCCCCACCCATTTATCCATCGATGACTCCGAAGATTTGAGTTTTGTCCGAGGACCTACTAGAGTTGAGCATTCGTCAAAACATGGATCAACCATTTGCTTCACTGTGATCCAAATGGACTACCTTCTGGCGGGACAAAATTTTGCTACCACTTTGTGATCATCTGCCGCTAGTTCCGATTCATTAAGATTATTGTCAGTTAGCCACTACTTGGCATAATATTTGTCTGTCTCTGAAAATAGCATCCTTTATTTGAATGCGATTACGTATCATATTACATGAAAGTCAAGCCTTGGTAGGGTACTTCAATCATACAAAGAGGATTATAAAACAATTGTTCCTTATAATGAGGAATGGTAAGGAGGAGCCATGTGGAACTTCTATACCTTACCTGCTGGTTATAGGAGATTGAAAGATACGAAGAGCTCATTCTTCTGTGACACCCTTCTTTCTCTAGTTGTTGTGAGCTGCAAGGCTGTTGCGACTCAAAAGCACTGATTCTCTCCTCCGAGAGTGAAGACAGTGAGACACTGGAGCAATCGGTATCTCCTGATTCCGTGACATCGTGTTTGTAGAATTCAGGCTGACTGCTTCGACGCCGGATAATATGCCTTTCGAAGTGACTGGACCCAGTTCTAATAAAAGGTTTGTGCCTCTGACCTCTAGAAGAAAGCCATCATTTACCTTCAACATATTTTGGTTGTCAGACCATTAGTCAGTTGGACTCGTATGTTAATGTAAACTTTTACTATTGGTTAATCGGCTATGGAGCAACGCGATTTTTAACAGATATAGTGTTTAGAAAAATTGATACAGTAATTCATCTTCTCTTGTTAGATACCGACAAGCGTGGTAAGCCGTGAGGCATCTCAAAAATAATAAAAACCGATCTTACTATAGCTTTTTCTCTAGTAAGGCATAAAATTATAGCATCAAATTAAGGATCCAAAAGAACCTCTACAGGAAACCAAGATTTCGTCGATCAAACGCATGCAATATGAGTTGAATGAGTCGCGTACTCTCCACATTCGCTGATTTTACGCTCTCATAATGCCGAAAATGTTACTGTGAATCCAACTCTAATCGAAATCTGCTTTTACGACTAATTTCAGGTTTAGTTTTCATTGATCCTTTCCTAATGTTTTAATAGAACCTATTCCAGAACGAATGCCAACTATCACTAAGAGTTTTAAGGGTCAGGTGGCCACAAATGTCGAATAAACGCAGGTGAAATTGCAGCTCTTTTCATATTCGAAAGTACTTTACCTATTGGACGTTAAAGGTGAGTTACACTGCTGCCAGGTAAGTACAGCCATGGCGGAACTGGGTCGCGACGCGGTAGATGATAGCAGGGTGTCAGATGAGTGGTTTGGACTTTGACGAGAGCTTGACGTTTCCTCTAAGTCTTCTTCTTCTCCATACTGCTCCTGTTGCAATGGTGGTGAGTACAGTCCTTTCTGCTTATTTCTGGAGAGAAAGGCGAGGATGTGGGCAAGACCTCGCGAAACAATCTAATGAAAGGAGTTAAAACGACGTAAGGTCCCAAAGTAGACTTTTATTAATTTCACGGCAATAAACAATCCCATCTCCACCGCAATTGGAATCTAGGTGATAGAGATTATACACGCAAGACTAAATCACAGCCTTTTGTAACCGTTTAATTTTGGTATAAGATTATACGTTCAATCACTGAGTAATGGTCAATAAGTCGGATTTTTACTGTGCGCTAATATTTTACAGTAGCTGAGCCCTGAAGCATGCACAATGTAGTGACTTGTCAGCAGCAATAGCTACTTCCGTATAAAACAACACAATGATATTAATATCAGAGGAAAGAAGGCGAATAGGGAACTACTTGTAAATTGTTGCTCTTCCAATAAATTTCAATGCCTATGCCTCTTTCACCATTGATCTCTCATTTCTTGCTATAAGACTTGGGTTGGATTTTTTGTTATAAATCGACAGCAGCAAAGCTATTTTAATTTAACATGTAAAATTGGATTTACACCTTTCAATCATTGTTAAAGGCATCCATAAAATTGCTAGACTATACAAGTATTCTAGACTTCGACCACGGTAAATAATGTTAGTTAAATGGAGGGCCATAGATCAAGTGCATAAAAATGCAATTCGGAGGCATCAATAACGTCATTTAAAATCGTTTAAAAAATTTCATACAGAATTCTTCCAAGCCTTATTAAAGATTGATAATAGTCCTTTTTCACAATCATCAGTTCAAGGTCTAGCCGTACACGCCAAGATTTTAATCGCCCTAATGAGAGATACCAGCATTGCGGTGAATTAGTGAGTTAAAACTTACGTCGAATGGCGGAAACACCAATGGATTATCCTGTACAGTGAGCTCCTGAAGTGCCTTTAATTGTACTAGAGAATTGGGCAGATTATGAATTTGGTTTCGATGGCATTTCAAAGTGGAAAGATTTTCCAACTTATGAATGTCTGTAAAACAATTAAGGGTCTATGAATAATAACACTTTGTTAGAAATTATGGACATCGACGCAAAAAAGAATGAGAGAGGTATAACATTCAAACAGCCGAAGGCAATCAAATTACTTAGAGACAAATTATTAAGTACTGATGACGCTAGTGGAAATGCAATCCGGTCATCGGAGCCGAATTCGCTATCACCATTTATAATTCTTAATTTAATCATATATAAATCACGCTGAGTCTTTTATTAATCAGCACTGCAAGTTCTGTAGCGATTATTTATCGAGTTATATCAGATGTTGAGCTTTATGTAAATTCCAATTTTCTCCTTTTATCAGAAAAATCTATGCATATGTATGTTAAAATTTGTGCTTAACTGGAAGCAACACAAAAATAAAGGCAAAGAATTTGATAAAGTTAAGCAACTAGGCAAATTTTTAAAGTCTAATAACACACAATTTGACCGGCATTAGGTAGAATATTATAAAAAGACCTGCAAGGGCTATTACATCAAAGAAAGCCACTGAAAGATCATACCAGACGGAAGAACTGAAATGATGTTTCCACTCAGATTCAAAACTTTTAAAGATTGAACATTTACTAATGGTGATACGTCTACAATTCGATTAAAAGATAGGTCCTAAAAACATTATCAATAATGGCGAACAGTCTACCAATTCTTCTAAGGCATTGAGAGGTGACCAGTCGAAAGGGATATGCTCCAAGAAGTTGCTTGAGATTGATAAGCAACGCAGCGTTGACATTTTTATTACAGCTGGGGGCATAGCCTGAAATTCGTTGTGACTAAAGGGTCACGCCTTAAAATTAACAATACCTCAGATCCAAGAGTCTAAGGCAGTGCCAATGTTCCCAAGGTCCACGCAATTCTTGTAAACTATTAAATGACAAGTCAAGCGCTTTGATATTGCAAGCCAAAAATATTAGCTGAGGTAAAGTTGTTAGGTCAAGATCAGAAAGATCTTAGGTTCTAAAATGATTAAAGGCACCTCACTCACTTGCGACCACAACACTATCTAATGAGTCAAAAAAACTTTCTTTTACTAATTTCCAGGCATTGCCCGAAGTCAAATATAATTGATCTGATTTTATACTTTCGTACTTTTCCTCTAATTCCCTAATATTCTTCGAATCGATTGTATCACACATTACCGCGGATTTCAAAAGATTGCGTTAAATTCAGGAAAGTTAGAAACTCATTATAACAAAATATTGTTGTATTACTTGTCAGTTTTACTACTTAGGCAAGTCACAGCCCAGATAATGATTGACTTACAAAGCATTGTTCAAGATGTGTTGCTGTGTTTAAAGTTCTCTTTCCTAATAATTCCTAAGTGGTTAAAATATTGTCCTGCAGCGAGTTAAACGCTAAATTTTGGTCCTCAAAAACATCAGATATAACAAAAATTAAGTTGGACTGATTACATGAAGTCTAGGGAGAGAAAAAGGGACTAAACCTCTGCTTGTCTCAAAGGCAAGTCCACACGCACAAGAAGAGACGAATTCCAAAGTAACCACTAAGCATCAGGTAACTGCTGTAATGCTTTGTTCATGTGACTATCAGACGTTCGGCGGTTACTTTAGAATTCGTCTGGTCCCTGTACACGTTAGGTGGCCTTCTGGCCACACTCAGGTTCCATTTTCCCTGCCGTCTTCGGGATACATGTATTCAACCTCACTTATGCTACAGCCGCACTAACAGAGAAGCACTTTAGAAACTACCGGCCCACTTTATGGCCTCGAAACCCCAGACTTCATAAGAAGCCTATTTAGTTTCGTGCATCGAAAGAAAGGAATAGGGAAGGCAATTAATGAGGTGAAAAGTCAATGTCACCCTTAAATGTCCGTACAAAGGTCAAAGTTAATACGCCAGTATTTATTGCACACCATTTTTTTCCCTAAGAACCACCCTCAGTGTTGGTCGGTAGAGTTCCTTCAAATGGCTTCCCTTGTTCAGCCATCACACAGACTTCGCCTTCACAATCTACCAAAGGCGAACCTGCATATTACCTGGTCTTGTTACTTCCTAAGTGTCAATCTCCGCATTCCGGATCGGACAGCTTGTGGGTGGCAGGACCTAGACCACTGGAAAGCTTTCCTTGTTCCAGTAATAGTTGAGTTTCCAATGGATTCCTAATGGAGGAATAGGTCTGTTCCTCGCCTCCTTGGAGTGATGTCTGCAGCAAAATCCTTGATACACCTTGCGCTGGGTCACAAGCATTTGCTTGCTGTCAACTTGTCCTGATATCTTCCCACAAAGGAATGCTGTTTCCCTTTAGTTTACGGATTTGTTAGGTGCCCTTGTCAGCCCTCAGCTTTTCCACTCAATTCGTAACACCTGCAGTGATCGTAGAAGGAACTCGTGATTACCATCCATGGTACACTCTCGTTTGACAACTCTTGTGCTTTGCTTCCTTGAGTGTACACTTGAGGAGCTAAAAAGGACTATGTGAAGGACTTCCTTATGTGTAAAGTTAGCATAGTTTAATCGAACATCAAGAGACGGGTTTGTGGTGTAAGCAATTCGAGTTTCTGCATCATCATGCATCTTCTTGATTCTGACAACCATCAGAAGCTCGTTGATCTACGAATGGTCCGCGCACGACAGACAACTCTGAAGGTAAGCATTTGGATAACCAAATTTGTTTAAGACTGACAACAGATTAGCCGTACAATTCTCGTGGGCATGTGATATAACATTGTCAAACACATTATGCCAATTGTTTTTAACAAAACCAAAACCAAATTCAAGTAGCATCCAAGTTTTAAATCCAGCTAACCTGATATCGTGCGTTTACTTTAGTGTTCTTCTGACCCTTGTATGCATAGGCTACTCTTTGGGACAAGCTTAGACTCATTCCAATTTTCTCTCCCTAGAATACATGTATTCAACCTAGCTTAATGCTACGGTAACGTCCAGAGACACTAAGCAGGGCTGAACGGATACATTCCAAGTAAAAGGAAAGGGAGTGTGCCTTGGCATAACCTCAAGGCTAGCCCATGCAAAAAAGAGCACAGTTAACACTGCAGTGACCGCTAGTCACATAGATAGTTCATTAAAAAGGACACTATTCTCATTCTATTGTTTGAGGTAAATAAATATACATGTTCTTCGTAAAAATTATGCCTTTCTTTGGGCCCGAAGGGCAGCCTACGCGTACAAGGACCGAAAGAGTCCTCAAGTAGTCGCAAAACTTCACATGTTCACACGAACAAAGGATTCCGTTTCGTGCTAGTTAAGTTCAAATGCAATACTTAAGTTTATTCAAGGCAACTCTTGGACATAATGCACGTGTAGCGTCTCGGGACTTCATAGCCGATGTAGGAAGTCAGTAAGTGCAGTTGGATACATGTATCCTGAAGACAACAGGACAACTTGGCCTGGGCATGGCCCGAAGGCCAACCCACGTGTACAGGAGCCAGAAAAATCCTAAAGTGACTGCTAAACGTCAGGTAATCGCATTAACAATGTACGGTACTTGCTAACAAAGACCTCGAGATTAAGCGGCGACGAATTCCCGTGGAGCTCAAATAGAACGATTACTAAACCTGGTTCTAACTCGTCCCATTCTCTTCATTGTGACTAATATGTCAAATAAATTCATAGGGTAAGCAACCGAGGACAATTGGGAACAAAAAACAATCGGTACACTGGCTCATATACATCAGTAAAAACAACAACAACAAAAATTCTAATTAATTAAAGTAGCTAGTAAATTATGATTTCAATGGAAATACTTTAACAAGAAATGATGGCTCGAAACACTTCGCGAACTAAACTATGGTCCTAACATAGACAAGTTTCAGAATTCTCTGCCCACCGCGCCTATTTTGCAGTTGACCTTGAGGATGAATCCGCTACTTTCTGTGACCGTTCCAAGACTGGCTAGGTTTCCCATTCGTTACTTCATCTCCAACTCTAGTTTAAAACTATCGAGCTGTCTACATGTGACGCCCAACCTGCACTCAATTAATCACATCTCTTCCAGTCCACGAGGAAAAGTTATTACTGTCCCCAACATTTTAACGTCGTTACGCATTGGGGTCACCCCCTTGATTGTTTCACTTATCATAAAGCAAGATCTTCTGTCAGCTACTATTCTGACTGCGGCTATCGGATTAACAGATGCTGTACGTGTATTCACATACATAAGATCATCACCCGATTTAGGCTGATGGTTATATTGCTCGACATTTTCCATCGCAACAATCCATTGCAGGTTCCTACCTGGATCCTTTAGCTGACAAGTTCTTCATCTCCCTGATTTCTTTGGCCATGGCGTACTCAGAACTTCTTCCTAGTATCCTTAGCATTTCGATAACTTTTTAGTAAGTTTGGTATCATTATTTCTGATACGGGATGCACTTCTCCTCGTTGGAGCCTCCTACCTGCGTTTCATCTCACTGGGTCGTCCGGTAGGTACTGAAACCCCATTAACATTTTAGCGCTCTCCACTAGGTCTGATATTCCCTAAAGAGGCAGCAATCGAAATGAAACCAACCAAGTCAAGCAAGGTTTGTCGTGTAACAGTACAATCATCTTTTGGTCCAGTTGAACACCGCCGTCCAAACGACTGTGGTACTTTTCAGTCTGGTTGCTCCGATTCTCAATCTACAGGATAGTCTTGCACTTCCTGCTCTATGGTAAGTCAAATTCTCATACTCAATGTTTTCAGGCTGATTGCCGCGGGCACAACTATCTACTCAGGCTTCGGGTACGCAAAGAGCTTCCCTAAATTCCTTCATGAAGCTCTCAACATTTCGGCCTCCAAGAAGGGGTAGAATAGGAGTCTGGGCCACTTTGAAAGGTTGTAAGGTTCTAACTACACATTCTACCAATTTTATTTGGTGCTTCCTTCAATTACTCATTGGTGGTGATCTTCGAAGTCAGGTAGGTCGGTACAACGGCAAACGACATGAGTATGTTGGTTTTCATAAGAGTGGGTGTTGACGAACTTGGAAATGGCCACTAGATAGTCATCCCCAGCTGAAGGAGTGGTGCTACATGGTGCAGACGACTGCAGCAGGGTTCTACTGAGGTAGATATAGTCATCGCTTAGGTACCGTTGACGTTGCCTCGCCCAGCCAGATTGCACAGCAGTGTAGGGTGACATGAGCGCCTGCCACCGTTGGACAAGTTTTGGCGGCCGCTTCTACATCTGAAGGAATAGAGGTGCTCAACTATATCTCATAACTCAGCCCTATTTAACGACTAAAACAACTAGCTTTGAACGACACTTCCAGAGTGAAGGCTAGAAACTACCTGATAACACCGTTGTTTCCGAAGGCATGTCTGCCGCAGATACACCGGAAGATATTTGAGCTTCGCAATCCTGTAAAAGCAAATCGAATTCCCACACAAATAAATGCTGGGTTGTGACGGGTATTTAAAAGATGAAAGGTGTGTCAGATACTTCAAATGGGACTGTAGGAGGGGGCCCGGTTAAGCCAACGTTTCACAGATTACAAGGAGAAGTGACCCATTTGGCTCTGAACACTTAATACTAAACAGTTGATGAATATATGGACGTATTACTCACCTAATGCCTTTCAATCTGTCAAGATAAACTGCAAAATCAAAATAGGAGCATGAGAATAAAGGTGACCACATATTGAGCCAAGAATATGGTAAAAGGAGACTAGTACGCACCAGATTTGAATTACAAGTGTATGCAGAGACATTTCTCGGCACACTGCGGACCGCGTTGTTCAAATGTTCACTCAAAAGAGTGCAGAGAAGATGTGCACCTTTGCACTTGAAGACAAAGACTCCGGCTAAAGGAAAGTGCAAATCAGAGTGTTAATCACAATATATAAAACAGAGCGTGAATTCATTTTCAATTTCAAGCAAATTGACAAAAAATAGACACAGATTAATCAAAATCTGAGAAATGATTCTGGAACACAAGGTATTTACGAATATAAAGAAATGACATTCGAAGGAAAAAACATGTAAAATTCCATAGAGTCCAACGCACACATGGCACATCGGCGACCTGTTTCGAAGGCAAAATGCGCTTGCAGTAGCCATAACTGCGCAGACCGGCAATGGGCCATCGCATCAACTTTGCCATGTTTCTTTTTTCGAAATACCGATAGAGCAACCCATAATCGATAAACTCTAACTTTCCTTTCCACATTCGACGACCGGACTCATTCAGGAGATGAGCCCTACATGAGCGATAAATCTGCAATTGCTGAGACGGCAAAATTTCATGCCGCAAATCGGACGGACTACATACACATCCAGAGACATCATACTCATCAACTAGAATGGACTGTCCCTCATCAAGACTGCAGGGACTTGAGCAACGCGACTCTGTCCGGTACCCGTTTCCCAGCAGATGTGTACGATTTAGGGGGCGGTTGGTCCGTTGCGACCTTGAGCATAAGCATAATCCTTCTGAAATGCGATGTCTTAATTACAGTGCCCGTGAAATAGTACAAATGCAAACAGTGTGAATTCGAAATTGCTAATAGTCGCCATATTAGGTCTTTAGTGGCGGGGAAAAGGCCAAAAATGAAAAAGACAATACATTAGAGATATACAGAGACCGCATATTCCCACCGAATGTATGACTTTACTACAAGTTCCAACTAAAACAAGCTATGCATAGTCATGTGCGTATGTTCCCTTGCTTTCCTCTCTGCACCATGCATTTACGATGCTTCAAAGTTCACATAACTACATAAAGTTACAGAAATAATGCAAGTGTATGGCACCTCATTTGATTCTCAATTTATGCCTATAAGCTCCATAATTATTATTGTTTCATTAATTCAAACTATTTTGCTATGTGTATGAGTCGTATAATAAAATGAAACTGTGACCTTTAGGTCACTTTGTCCCTCCTATTTCCACTGGTTCCTTTGGAATGGTTCTGCCTGTCAGCAAATGAGTGAACAGCGTAGGTTGACTGTATGCCTTATGCCATGGACAAGCTGGGGAGCGTTCTCGATGTCCTTGGATGGACATTTCAATCTCTTGAAAGGGTGTGTCAATTTTTCTAGTGGCAAATCCCGAACCAAAACTTAGGTATTCCTATCAGAGTTTATTTACCGTGTTACCATCGCGTACTCACAGGTCTTCATCGTTATACCTTTGCTCCTATGTCCGCCTAGGCGATCTTTAGTAGCTTTCCGCTCGATTTTCTCTAACTTTTTTCTTGCATGCCAACCTCAAATCTTTTTTCATCTCTTTTAACCAGGTGTCGGATTTCCAGATTTGTCCCTTGGATAAGAGTCACCTGGTGCCCCGTGATCGCCTAGATTCTCATCTGGAAAAATGCCGATTACGGCAAAGGGGCTATTCAAGAAAAACTATTGTAAACGTTAACTGTCTTTTACCGCTTAGTTCAATCATCTCGGTTGCTTCAAGTGGAATTTTGCAGTCTTTAGAAAAGCATTTAGATCTGTAGTTTTAAGGCGCCGTCTTTATGTTCCACTAGTTGGTAAATTTCTATGTTATTGTTTTTCAACCTAGAGTTACTTTCGCCCATTTCTTTCCACATTTTAGTAGATTCTTTGTCTATTTCTGAGTCCTAGTTGGAACATTGGCTTTTTATCAAGAATTACTTGTGTATTTAGAATTGTACTGATGCCATTTGAGTATGCATTTTGTTTGTAGGCAGCTCTATGGAAGTACGATGATGAAGAAATACGAAAATTTCTGGATACAAGCGGGCGGTTAAGCATGTCCATGAACTTACCCATACCTACTCCATTTACCCAGCCCGAAAAATGCGTCTCTTTCGGAGCTCATAGGCCAGGTTCGATTCTTCAAATCATTTGCACTTCTTTCATTGATGGTTCAATGCACCTCCCCTATTTGTGGAACTCTGTCGCTGGTTACTTAGATTTTGTGCTGTCGCAAAGGCGTAGTTTCATTGTGAGGGTAACAATTTGCAACTCTTTAAGTTAACTTTAATTTCCGTGGCGTTTATAAGACTGCAAACTTACAGACCACTACGTCTTCAAGACGCGTCTGTTTTGCCCTTTTTAGTGCATCTATTGATTGCGCTGATGGATATTCCTGTAAAGAGCTTTGCTCCGTCAAAAGCACTTGTTCAAAGAGTACTCCCAAGTAGCTCTTTATTTGTAGGGTTTCTTGTAATACTTCGAGACTTTCTGTTTATCCATGTAACGGGTTGTATTTTTTAGAATTTCATAAACTTTCTTTACTATACTCTGTAACAAGTTAAGAATTAAGTGAATATACTTGATTCAAAATTAAATTTAAATGTATGCAACAAGTGGTTGTTTCTTTTCTGATCATTTGTGGGTAGCGAGTACAGTTAATTCCATAATTTCTGGTGTTTTATTGTGGTGAATGATAAACTTTGGGTAAGTCGTACGGCAGCTTAGATGACGGAAGTGGTGCTTTTGTTCAACATGAAGCAGGTTTTGAATGTTCTTAGGAATGTCATGTCGAGAAAAGGGAGGTGTGTCCGTTCAAGAAATGGCTTTCATGAGGGATCTCAAACGACGAAGGCAGAGCTACCGTGGAATCCACACTGCCAAAAAATCTTACATTGAGGTGAGCAAATTCTTCCTTGGTTTGAGTGACTTGGGTTCACACCTCTACTACTTTCATGTGCACCGCATGCTTGTATTTCTTATCCTTACTGTTTTATTGATTAAGATTCTACGGGAAGTCATAGAACACCATACTGCACTTCTGAACCAGTCTGCTGATACTGAGCAGTGAGTATGAACTCCTTTTTACGCCCGATATCTGTCAAATGATGTATTCGTTCAAATTAACGGTGAGACGTGAAGAGCTTAACTAATGTATTTTGACTGATGACTTTGTTCCGGGTGTTTGTTTTATTACAGAGTTACGAAACACTGGTGCATGCTCTTTGTCACTGTTAATACAATCGTGTCTTGGTACTGTTGTTTTAGTTACGATTAGTTAAATTTCCTTTGAAAACTAAAGTCTATGCAGCTTAGTTGTACTCAATCATTTTAGCTCCTTTGACACTAAATGCATAATTGGCACTTTAAAGTCCTCTCAGCTCTCTAAACCCTCACGAATATGATGCCATTTCGAAGTTGAAGGTAGATTACGGTAGAACTACGTAAACAGTTTTCTATCTTTTGCTTGTTTTATAGCTTTGTATCTCACTTTGCAACTAGGAGTTAACGAAACCATTTAGGTTGTTATCCTATGCGAATCCACCCAATTTGACGTAGGGACAGCTTCGAGCTTGGAGGGAAGCATTCTGGACGCTGAATTGACAACTATTCCCCTTTCGTCTATGGCAAGCGCAGAAATAACGCCTAGTTTGGGGAATCGTAAAATCGCAACTACTGAGTAGAATTTGATTTTAATTGGCCCCTCTCCTGGGTAATGAATACATCTTCTTGTCATTGTACATCTGCATCGTTACATTATTGTAAGCGGAGTTGCGCATAGAGTTGAAAGAATGATTGAGATGTAGTGGCTATATTTATTTCATATCGGAACGTGCCTCTCACAGAAGAGATTTCTGAGTTCATTGATCCTGCTTTTGACGGCTGTAATGGTTAAAGTTTGGTGATCGTATAGATTTTGTTATCAAATATGGTACCATGAACTTATATGGCTACCTTATGGTACCCGTGCACTAAAGTGTGCTCAATATTCCGCGAATGTTAACTCTGATTCAGTGATAACTTTGCTCTCATTCTCCAGATTTGAGTGATTTACGTGATTACTTTACTGCGAGTTCGGTGTCTGTTATCAAGTGCTCCTCTAGTGATCTTGTTCAAACCAATTGATGTTGTATGTGTCTTGGTTTTGGGAATGTAGGAATGTCCACTTTCTGCTTAAACTTCTTGGTAAATTTTTAAGGTAGGAAAACGAGATCTGGGTCTTTCTGTACTTTTTTTAATTGGAGTAGCTGAAACAGTAATCTATAGCTCAGCGCCATGCCATTATTATTTGTGGCATCTGACTCTTAAATATCTCAATCTTCTTGTTTTAAGGCTATCACAGGGCGTTGTTTTGGAAATAAATTCTGAAGCCTTTATTAAGGGCTCAGCTATCGTCGTTAACTCATGTTCGATCACTTAATCAGCTAGTGTAATTTATTTTCTAGTCAAGTGGTCCTATCGTATGATGCCTAATTTGTTGGGTTACTGGAGTGCCTGATTAGGGGAGGAACATCGGACACCTCGGTCGGGAGTACTATTGTTGCAAGGCTTAGCTACTCTTGGACCGACCAGTCCGTGCACGTACTTTTCTCACTTCTGACTAATATTATTGCGACACGAATTAATAAGGTGGGCGTTACATCTCCGGTTATTATTTCGCTGGCTATAAAGTCATTACACATTCGTACGCTACTCAGTCGCTTAGTGATGTTAAGATTTGTTGATTTTCTGCTCGATGATCATTTATTTATTTATTTTGACTAAGATTCCTTCATTTCATCCTCGAGAAGCTTAATCTGGATTCACAAATAATTTTCAAACTTATTTGCTCCTTACAAAAGATTAGTCTGATTTACCACTTGCTTCAGCTGGTGACTATCTGGTCGCTAACCCTTCACCATATTGCGTCTAAGTTTTTGATCCAAATAAGCAATTGAAACATTGAAATGAAAGTGATTGATTAGTCTTAAGGTAAATAGTGAACTCGATCTCTTCACTTCTGTGTTTTGTCAGGAATTCGCCTCGCCCCAGCTGCGAGGAAGCACGAAGTGTGCAATCGAGGAAAACTCCTGATAAACAGTGCAGGTAATTCGAGGATATCATTAAAACGTCGTTTATATATTTAGGCTTTGTTATAACTTATAACCACCCTTCCTGTCGCTTTTATTTTCTCAAGATCGTCAGATCAGTTTTCATATTCCTGTTCGGGCTCACTGCACTCATCAGAGCGTCGCCATAGGTATGCCTTCTTTTAGCTCTTCGGCTGCATTATCCGACTTTGGTAATTGAGTTTATATAATTCACCGGATTGTTTTTAAAGTTCGTGCCATCCTACAAAAAATTCGTAAATTGGTTTTATTGACAAGACACAGTGTTTACGTTTTTTTCGAATTACTTTTAATGCCAGTAAGGCAGTAGGAACTGTTTGTAAATGAATAAATAAATCCCACGTCGATGCCATCGTTCATTACAAATGCGTTCGTTTCTCTTCTTACCTCAAGCCGAGGGGAACAGATCCATCCATATCTCCCCCACCGCTCCTCTCGCCATGGTGAACGAGACCGATCCGATGGCAGGAGGCGGGGGCGTTAGACATCTACACCACCCTACTTCGCCTGTGCTCGATGCTTTTTGCAGGTCTAGCAAATGTCTCTGTTCGTGTGAATATATACGCACACCTGTCTGCCTGTCACTTCTGTACGGCATCCTTCCCACTGCTTCAGTGCTTGGATCTTTGTTACTTGGGGTTGTGGTGAACTGCCTTCTGGTTGCTAAAATAACCGGTGGTTGTTTTCATCGTTCAACTTTTCTCCATTTATCTAGCATGGGAAATGCAAAAATTTCCTTTCACTATCGGTCAGTTAACACCTTAAGGTAAGCCCTCCCTTAACATCATTTGGAACATTTCCCCGAAATTTCTTCCTCAACTCTGCGAATTTGTAGCTAGCGTCCATTCATGTTACTTTTTGAAAGATAGCACAGGTAGGTAGACGTGATTCTCTAGTTTTGATCAAGCCTCTGGTTTAGTGATCGTTTTAACTTTGTACCGAACCATTCCATCGAATTCTCAGCGTGTGCTTTGCGGCTCCCCGCCTTTTTTTAAGGACAAAAGTGCGCGAAGTGTGGAAAGGGACATTAAATGTCTAAACATCTCCCATGTCTTTTTTCCGCCCGGGTCGCACTACCCTGTTCGCAAATGCTTAATAACGTCAAATCAAGCGTGTTCGCAGTGGGAACAACTGTGTCGGAATGTCAGACACGACATCAGGTCCTGCAAGAATTGTAGCGTGATCTCCAGAGTCGTGTGGATTTTAGTTAATTAATATTTCGATGCTTTTGACCTGATGTTACGTCTATTCTTGTGTGATTCTAAGTGCTAAAACTGTGAAGCTTTGCTGCAATGTCTATACGCGTCAATGCTTTTCACGGTAGCATGTGCTGATATTGGAGTTTATTCTCTGTATTTTACTATTTTAATGCCTCTCATTCTAGCTAAATGATGTGTTTCTTAAGTTGAGGCTACTTTTTTAGGTAACTGTCTTTGTTTAGACTTAACCGAGTTTTCAACAAAAGACACACTCAAGGCTACAATTTTTTAACTACAATATGTCTCAGGATTACATTAAGTGATGTCAGCCGGGCAGAACCTCAAGTTAACTGATTCTCATGTGTAATAAAGATGCACTCTGAATCTTTGGGGAAAGTGAGATTGAAACGTTCACCATTTGCCATGAACAAATGGTAAGAAGTGTTGCAGTGGAACGTCACCTTTAGCAAAAAATTTAGCAAGCCGTCTGGCGTTAACAACTGCATCTCACCTTGTAGAACTACCCAGAGGGAACTGAAATTAAATGCAAGGTGGGGCATTGCGTTTGGTCGAGATGAAATGGTCGAGTAAAGTTCGCGAATTTGCGACGCCAAAATGTTCTGAGCATATAGACGATCGCATATCAAATATTAATAATACTACTCCTAGGATAGTGAAGAAAGTCCTTTTTAACAAAACACTGCGAGTTCCGAAGACTGCGCCAAAGGTAGGGAACGCATGGTGGGTCAAGTTCAGTTCATCAAGTCTTGGTGTACTACGTCACCGTTCGTCATAATTGTATAGCTTGATACAAATGTCTTTTGGTTAAAAAATCATCGCTGTCTGCATTACAGGGAGGCAGAGAAAACTTGGTCAAAATGAGTTGATTCTCTAATGGGATGTGGTTTTTTTTTGCAGGATAATTGGATTCGCTTTCTTCCTCCTACTCTTTGGATCCCACCCTAGATCCGTGGGAAGACGAAATGTCCAACCAAAATCACTCCCGTTCATTTGTCTACGCCGTTTGGTTATTCGTTTAACTTATACACTAAAAATTGCACACAAAGTTTATGACTAACAAAAAAATGTGACTAGTACATCAGTGATCTTGATCAACTCGTTCTCGCAGGATTTGTGCTTTGTCGGAGCATAGCCTTTCATTCTTCATTCCCAAGATAGAGGGAAGCGACCAAAGATAGAAGCAAGCGAATGAGAGGTCGTACGTGGGCATTTTGCAGTGCATGTTTTGAGCGAGTAAGGAGTCATGCATTGAAATCTTTCAATGTCCCTTACTAAGTCAGTCCTAAACAAAAGATAATAAAGGCAAACGTCTCCCTCTACTTTTTAGAGTGGGAGAAGTACATGTATATGAGCAATTGTGGATGAATATGGCATTTTTAAAGACCAGAATGTCTAGATTTTCGCTGTCTGAAGAATGGAGCCTTTTAAGTGGTCACTACAACTATTACCAAATTCTAAACACTCAAAATCTGGTAAATTGCGCAGTGGTAACTATTCTTCAGATTGCTGCAGGGGATTATGCGTATTAATAATTCCCTTATGAATGTCCCACGTCAAGATGAGATCTTCACCCTGAGGTTTTTACCAAGCTCTCACCTTTTAAGCCTGTCATAGGATTCCACATTTTCCACACGTAAGGTGAACGCAAGGTGACGTTAACTAGGAATTGAATGGTTCAGATTTGCCGCCATTTGACTTGCTATTCTAAATAAATTGCCCTATGGTGAGGACACTGTTATGAGCATTAAACAAAAGAAATGGAAAGATTACCCATGAATTTGTCTTTAGCAAGCTCCCAATATCGCTTCATCTTATTGGCCAGCAGATCTGCTGGCACGATGACCAATCGTAATAAAGGCTGGCCACTGCTGAATGAACCAGCAGTCAGCCCATCACTGTCACCTTGGAATCACCAATGTTTGTCGAAAATATCCTGCCAAAATGGTCCTCAGCCAACTCTCTGACAACCTCCCTTCGGGTACAGCAGATACTCTATCAGCTCTCACCAACATGTGTGTGCCCAAATTTTTCAGGTATGGTACAGGAACTCCAACATCATCGCGCTATTTCAAACTCCTCCATGTGTAGAGACGAGAACTCCCGGCCTTCACATCTCATTGCCCTTGCTTTGGAGACTTCTCGTGCGCACTCTGCTGACTCCAAGTCGTCAAATCTGTTTGGTAAGGGCAAGGCTCAAAACCGAAGGCGCAGGCGACCCCGTCTAATGTCAGAGGATTTAAGCGATAATATCAAAAGGAATGACATCGAACTTCTCTTCCAGCAGTGTCCGAAGGGCTTTCGATCCTTTTCACGATGCTCACCACCACTACAAAAAGGCTCCATTGATTCGCGAAGCACTTTTCACTATCGTCATTTGGCTGAAGGCTCTGTAAAGCTGGCCATGTCCTGCTGGTCAGCCGGTCGCCCAAATATACCCGTAATTCGAATACACGATGCAAATACCGAGGATGCCGTTCATTCTAATCGCTTAGCTGGCATTAAACGAAGCAGCAGTCTTAATTTCATTGAATTTGAAACCCATGATAATGGCACCAAAGCAAGGACATTATCTGAAGAAATGATCTTGATCCAACCTTCTACTACCTCGGATGGCGTCTCCTACTCCTTTGCTGAATTCGATGAACTTCGAACATCAGTGTACTCGATACATGGAAGTACGAAAAGCAGTAGTGTGTCACCTCTGACTCTGGTCGTTCTGCGTAATAACGGTTTCCTTCAAAGGTCACTTATGAACCAAAGAAGATGCAAGAGTTCAAACGACATCGATCGAGACATGGAGTCCGTAAACCCGGAGAGTCCCATTCGTCAGGTTTCCTCCGACTTTAATCTCTCGTCTCTGAACGCAGAGTTGTTGGCGGAGCTTGTTGAGACTGCGAATATTTTGGGACAGGCTCTAGAGATGCATTTAAAGCAACAAGCTAGCATTCAAACTGTGTGATTTTCGACAACTTCACAGACTTCAGTATTTTATGGTGTGTATTTTGACAAAGTCAACAAATTCCCTTCACTCATGTTGCGCTACTTTTTGATTTCATACTATGGTGGTGAACTGTTAAGGTGGTTTTATAAAAGTGGTTGCTTCTTTCATAGATTTTAGATCCAATTTACTAGAGGCATACGCGTCTAGGGTTCACCCTTGAGTGGGGAACATTTGTAAATCGTACTTTTCTAAATCTAATCTCTGGTATCACTCTACGAGCATGCTGGTCACATGATTTGATTGTTGACCTGCAGTTAGAGCCGTGTTTCTGATTCCTCTCAACGAAGTTTTCCATTCTTCATTTATAGCGCTAACGCCAATCTTCCTAAGCAAAACGCAATTTATAGTGGAATCTGGACCTGGGATAGTAGGGCGGGTCCCCATATGCTTCCGGTTTCTGGTCTCCTCTCCATTGTCTGACAATTTGGTACCTGCGTTTTAAGCAGTGCAAGCAAGGCATTATTAACCCAACGTCTCCATGCTTTAGCGGATAAGTCCGCCTACCGATTAATTGGAAGTCAACATGTTTCCTAACATATGGACAAACCATCGCACAAGGTTGGCTGTATGTTTAACAAAGTCACCAAGACATGTTTATGCGCCTTTAAGCGCGTCTTCAGGCCAATGGATTCGTGATAACTTCCAAGTGGGAGTAGCAACTCCCAAAGCAAATCGGGTTACAAGTGGTGGTGAAATAATTAAGAAGGAACCTAAAAGGAATTATAGAGCTATTTGTGGTTGAAGGCTTTAATTTCCAGTGATATACGGCAAGACGAAGCAGACTTGGCATCTAACTCACTGGTTTGTCCTGATAAGGTCTAAATAAAGTTATTTTTACGAAACGAAAAGTGTCTTGATTTGGCTTTTGACTCAAATTACCGATCCGGTAAATGTTCCTTGTCTTAGACAATCGCGATGATTAATGCCTACGTGAAATAAAAGAAGGGGTGCGACGGAGGGTAAACATGATTGCTTTGACCAGATTTAAACTCTTATACATTCAAAATATGATTGAACAATTGAATTTTAACATTAAGGAGAATTATTGTTTACTATCTGCAGACCTGTCTGCTGCTCATTAACTGCTATGGCCAGAAATGGATCACTTTTAAAGCCCTCAAGCGCTTTGGTCAAGTACAAACCTAACGCTTCTCACAGCGATTTAACGAGTGTTGTTGGTGGAGGCAATGGGCATGGGGAAAGTGCGAATAGCCTCAACACCCCATTATCGCAGTAAGCCAACCTTCTGGCCAAACTCGAAATCTCCACTCCCTACTTTGCTATTTTTAGAATTAATCACTTAGCGCCTCATCCTAGAGCGTATCTTTTAGTTCATATTGAATAGTTAATGAAATCAAATTGTGAAAACTGCCTTTTCATGTAGGTTTGTGGGTAGTTCGGGCTGTGATTTATGGTGGGCCACATACTGCCAACGATAACTTCTTTCTCGGACAAAGTAGCTGCCTCATTCTCCTATAGAAAGTTGTCCAAAAAAGTTTTCACTTAACGAGAAAAATCACGTGATGCGAAAGCATTCACTTGTGATATCCTCTTAACATTTGGATTCCTGTCAACATCGTCTGTGTCAAATAAGATTTGAATAGTTATACTGTCTATATCATAATTCCTAATCTATGGTGCGAATGGAAATAGCCTTTGATGCTGGTAAGATTTACCAAGTCTGTAGCTATGTCGCACTGAAAGGTATCGAACTAATGCTGGGAGAATGTTAGATGTGAGATTAGCTGCTCTACACTGTTTGTATGGCTATAGTAAAAAGTATGATTATTTGCTGAGTGAGTGAGAAAGCACTGGCGTCTTTTGGACCTACAGCAGAGTCGGAACTACATCTGAGGCATTCAGAGCTAATAAAGCGAACTGATCGTATTATCTAGCAGCCATTAAAAGCTTAAGTTTAGAGCGAAAAGAGGAGATGGGTGGAAGGACAAGTTTTAAGCTTCTGTTTGCTTTAGCTCTCTCATCTTCATCCCCTTAAGCAGACAAATTGGTAGTAAGTGAATTAGAGAGAAGATAGAATGAAATAAAGGTAGAATTCGCAGCAGTGAAGGAGGAATTTCTGAAAGACGACCGAACATGTTATGCATTTTCAGAGGCATCACAGGTACTCGGGAACTTTAATAAGATTCAACTTCCACTAATAAATAGCAAATTTGCCTTTACAGACGCGTCAATCTAATGAGTATGTGGTGTAGTTTAGAGACAAAAGCTCCAGCTTCCAACCGGAAAGTTTGTGCACTTTTTTCTGTTAAATAATATTGCCCATTTGCATGACGACCAATGCTTGGCTGAAACGACGCCCCATTGCTGACGCCTCACCATCCCTGTGATTTATTGTTTGCCTTGCTTACGAGGTCATGGATTATTTTCTTCATGGGTCGCCTGGCAGAGGCAATGGCCTTGAATGGGTTTAATATTGAAAACGCAAAACGAGGCATACTACCCTACAATACTAGTTTGTTTCAGTCAGGATATGCATGGCAGAATTGAAAATGACTTTGGAAGTTTGGGTCTTTTTCATTCGAAAACACAGGCTTAGGATGAGATTTTCCAGAAAAAACTGTATCAAACCAATTAATAATTATGGCAAAAAAAACATGGGAGGAGCATCCGCTAAGTTAAAATATATGTATCCAATCTGGACTTTAATTCACGTACCCGACACTTGTTGGTTTTGCGACAGTTTTAGTTAAAATATGAGCTGCAGGACCTCATACTAATGAACTAGTTGAGGCGGAGCAGAACGGAAAAATATTTCGAGATATTAGATGCGTTTAGGGGTTTGAACAAATAGATGCAAAAGTGGGACGAACTAGACCCATCCACAAAGTGTCCTATCACACATTCCAAAATTGAAGGAAACCACTCAGAACTGACCAAATTGGCAATGCGCAGAAAGTGGTCTCCTCCTATTTGGACGTGGTTGCATCTTAAAACATCAAGCATCATCGGCTTTATCAGCAGTTCGAGTGAAAAGAGAAGGGACTTTTGGAAGAGGCAGCGTCACTTTAACAATGATGGTCACTAATGCCGTTGAAAGGGTTCTAGCCAATCAACTTTCTGCACTTGATTATGCCTGTAAGGGGTGTCCCTTCCTCTTAGAAGCGCATCTATTTATAGCACTCTACAAAACACTCAAATTTCATTTCCAGACTTATTTCTTTTTACACATCACAAAACTTTAGACAGCTCCAATTTTTGCCTGAAGATCGAACCTTTTGTAATTAATCGTACTTTCTAACCTTTTTTACTTTTTTTGTTTTTGATTGAAGTAATGAAGGCGTGGAATTTTCGCCCTAATATCAATATAGCCGAAGTGGAACATTGTCAAAGGCTCGGTGAATATAATACTACTTTTGCAATCTCTGACCCAAAGTAAACTCTTCTGAAGCGTATCAGCTTTTACTCCTTGCACGCAGAAGAGCTAAGAGGGCACAAATATGACTACCAAACTGTGGAGGCGACTTAACTTAATCAAAACAAGTACACAGGCTATCACCCTCAAAAATATGAATTCCTTATTGGAATGAAACTTACACTTGGTTGATTAAACAACTTCATTCTCAAAATTAACTTATACACCAGCTTTTGTTTTGCGTAAGATAATGCAGATAAACCCTCATAAGCTGCATCTCTAAAAAGGAAGTGGTTTTTCAGTACAAACGCCCACACGACATTCCGGCTTATTCGTCAGATAAACTAAGTCTATGCCAGTCTCCCCCATCTCAACAGTCCTCAAGATTTGGCTTACTGTTGGAGCTGGGCGTCGGGACTGCATTGCAGCCCTTTAATGCCACATAACTTCTTGATGAATCACAATTATTGCTACTGTAATCGACAAAAGCTAAACCACACTACCAAGAGTAAAAGAATGAAAACGATGGCGATCTTATACAGTCGTAATTGCAATTCTTCGATGTAAATACAAACAACTATTAAAAGTACTGCATTCTCAAAGTTGTTTATTGTTCAGATTTCGTAAGAATTAAGACGTGTAATAACGTGTTCGAATTTCGAATTTCCACTCTTTCGCCATCGCCAAAATGAGTTATTCATACAAATACAAAGATACTTTTAACATACGAAAAGGCAATGGGGCAACGTAACTGCGAAACATCAATCTACATATTTTTGTTGATGATTTTTATACTCTAATTAGTATATTCTAAACAATGGTGGGCATTGATTTCTGAGAGATGGCATGACTGCCGAATTTTAATTTAATATTGTTACGCCGTATATATCAAGTGAACACACATTGGTACGGCATCGTAAAGTGCCGATCCGTATTAGTGAATACTATCCCTTAAAAATTGAAAGCTCTGGAAGGAGATCAAGTGTCAAAGGAGATTTTGGAGGCAATCCGGTCGTTTGTTGTTTCGAAAATGCATTCAAAGCATTCGAAATTGCTTAAATGCAATTATCCTACCAGAAGGAAGGTCTACAAATGTGATAAATCATGCCATTTTGCTAGAAAGTGGAATTCCCAATCCCAGTACATGCTTGACCCTCACTGACCTAGTAAATAGCGCGTAGGATTAGTTCTGAATGTCAACATTTTTAAAAGCCATACAGGACCCAAATGAGTTTGCCCAAAATACAGACTAGCCACTCCTTTATCACCCTTTCGCTCTAGTTCTGAAATAATGCGCTTACTCCCAATCCTGAGCACTAGTTTTTGCCCTCCCTGAGGCGCATTCGAGAGCTTGAAATTTTCAAAGTTCGGAAAAGTAATTTACTTATTCATTCAGTTCCTACAATGAACTTGATAAAAACAACTACCCGTCATCGATTCCTCCAGAAGAGAGAAGGAGTCTTAAGAAACTGTTTATTTACAATGCCATGGCAATTTCATCCACGCTTTTGGCGCATTTCGCAGCACGATTGTCTCTGCTTTTGATCCCTGCTCCATAATGTTCGCATAGAGAATTTCAACAACGTTTATTTTTAGATCGCAGTTTAGTCAAAATAATCAAAACTATAAACAGGATCGCTCCAATCGAACGACTTTTGAAGTTTGTAATTACACGTTCGGAAGCGAATCAGGCAGAAATTGAAAGACTGACAGTCCTACTAGACTTATCAGTCCATCGGCCAGACGGCAGCGCACGCTCCAAAACAACACCCAAGTTTTTATGACAAGTTAACTTTTGTAATTTGTTTGTGTGGGAGCATTCGGCTCTAGCATCTTGATAGTGGCCTTCTAAATCCATCCCATTCATTGCATTATTAACCATCCAATGCAGTTTTTAAAAAAAGCGGAGCTGGCAATGAGAACTAGTTCACTCGTTCGTACAATGCACAACTTTCCCCTTGCACTGTCGTTAATGCAGTCACATCAAGCTAATGACACTTGTTGAACCATGTCTTGCTAATATCAAGGGAAAGCACTAATTGCCAGGTATCAGTAGCACACACCCAAGATCACGCAGACCTGCTTGCGATGCCGGAACACCTCGGGATGATTCGAATGAAATTCACATAACACGCACCTCCTGAAGACTGGTCTCTCAGGTGAAACTCTGTCCAGTGTCACAGAGAAGGCATTCAAATTTACACACAGGCTCAGTTTTTGAAGGTATGTACCCTTTATTGCCAATTATTCATCCACAGTTTTTTTTTGGGCTACTTATACATGAAAATCCCCAAGACCGAGCTGTATGACTTCCTCCAAAATTCAAGCACTGCTTAAAATCGAACTGCCATATAAGCTATTATCATATTCTCCTGTGAAAAACAGAATTGACAGGTCCAAAAACCTGAGAGCTGCACCGAAGACCTGTTCGCACGCTACCTGTGCGATTGCCGACCAACAAAACTATAAAAGAAACTTGGAATGACTGCACATATTGTCTGAAGACGTTGAACAGTGAACTTGTTTGAAGGAAATGGCACGATGAAATAATCCACTGATAACTCCAGAGCAGGTGACCACCATATCCAATATTCTTGAACCGCTTTTAGAAATTGGTACTGTCCTCAAAGGTTGCGACCGCCAGATCGGTATTCAACCTCCAAGATAGCGTAGTCCGTAGTTACAGGTAAGATAGCAATTGCTTAGTTAAGGAGAGCGTTAGAAGTAGTCGACATTGAGGGGAAACACAACATTCCAGCACAATTGTATCTGCATTAAACCTTGGCCGATTCTAATGGTCAAAAAAATCACTGAAATCTAGAACCGCATGTTTCCCATAAGTTTGGATGGGTCGGCATATTCCTTATACGCTTCATTAGTTTACAACGTTCAGAAGTTTAAAATTTAAACGAAAAAAAATCTTCCCTAGAAGGGTCAGCAGCAGATAAATCCACAAATTCGGAGAAAGGCACTACTGTACAGCTGGTAAAAACGTACAAGGGCTGCTAGTAAGCATAGTTTCTAGGGCAGTTTTGAGGTGAGGAGCAGATCAACTTCCTCCATGAATGTGCGCAATCGCAGACCCTTGGAGGTCAAAAGATCAACAACCTCTTCAGCATCCTCCGGACAGTAGCGAGCTAAATCTGTGTACAACACCTGAAATAGAGAAACATCAATAACTTTAACTGTTACTTCCATTAAATGCATTGTAAGCACACTTGGAAACATCCGACTTTCTGACAGCATAAAGAAAAATCTAAAAAAAAGAGCTGAAAGGTAAAAAATCGAGGTCACATCCAAAAGTAGGAGCAATGCACGAGGGCAACATGTGTTTCAAGTACTAAAATGAGACCTTTGAAGTAGAATGTGATTAAAGCTAGAATACATGGTTAGGGAGGCGACAAGACAGACAGACAAAAGAACAGTACTCGCCTTAGCCCAGGGGAGATCTTCGACAGCTCGATAGAAAATGGCTTTGAAAGCAGAGCGCTGTTTCCGGTGCGCATCAAAGTCATTTGCAGGAGTAGAGGTAGAAGAGGCAGAGACGCCAGCGAGGGTCCACTCAAAGGCCATGTAAGCGGACCATAGTACAATGCGCAGATGATCGGTCCAGAAAGAGGGTGTCATTGTGAGAGCCAGACATGGCATTTCTCCACTGGTCCCACCGAAACGCAACATTGGATTGGACGATGACGACGTCCCTAACGCTTTCTCAAAGGCGGTCCGAATTCGCGGCACCGCACCCTGGATCCAATAGTGGGACAAAGGATTCGTTGTGGCTGAAACGAACAAAATCATTTCATAAAGTATCCTGAATCAAAACAAATTCCACAAATTCTTCTCTGTGATCTCATGACAGAACTATGTTTAATCTGAGCCGAACTTTGACTATGTGAAGTCTTTGCTTTTTGGAGTGTCGCCATCATCTTGGAAGCATAGCAATACACTCTTATTTCTGCCAATAGTTAATCAAGCCCTCCTCAAAATTTGGATGAAAGTCTATCGGAATAATGTACAAAGAGGTGCTATTGGTGAAGGCTATGATCCGCTATTAGGTTCACTTATGCTGTTTGCACCACTCAACGATTTGGCGGATTAGCAAATTTAAAAAGTTATTACGGTTTAATCCGATGTAGTATGTGATGAGACGGAAAGCCTGTGGACGATGTGATAGCAATGGTAGTAATCAGATTGCATTACTTTGGCGGGAAATGAGGGCTTGGCTGTCTAAATTTACAGCAAAACGTCAATCCCAAGAGCAGAGTAAAGGGAGAACAGGCAAGTGAGAAGTGTTGTTAAATTTTACTAAGTTCTCTAGCATTTTAGTCATACGTTCGATTTGAAGACAAAGTTGGAGCATTGGTAATCATTGCTAATGTCTTCAAGGTAATTACTGAACCGCTTGGAGTGGATATTAATTAATATGCACAAAAAGTGGAGTACGAGGAAGTTACAGGCGTATAGATACGGTATTTCGGCTGCCTTACAAATAGATCAGAACCATAAGCAGGCCAAATAGAACCTGCTAAATAAAAACTTGTATATCCTCAAAATAATGAGTGCATAATAGGGGCGAAACGCGAAGGAAGTCAGCAAGAGAAATGGGATAATAAAAAAAGTCCGTTTGTCACATCAAGGTATCTTGAACAGCTCCCATGACTCGCAACTGACAATGACGTGCTATCCACGCTTTGAGAAGAGAGTAATTGTAATAGTTAAACCTTAAACTTTAAGGAGACGCCAAAAACCGACAATTATTTATGCTCAGAAAAAGGAGTGGTTAGAGGGAAGCAATAAGTGCAAACGATTCACAGGCACTTCAGAGTTACACCTACTATGAAATTAGCGATGCACAAAATGGATCTGCCGCCTCACATAAGTACTTACAGACCAATCAATTGGACCAGACAAAATATTACATTACAGAAAAAACAATAGACTACTAATACTTGATTACAAAAGCGGACAGTGCTAAAAAGGATCAAGGTCTTCATTTCAGACCATCTAGCAACGGGATGACTTGAAAAACTGGTCATGAAAGCGATTAACTTCCCAATGTGCATATGGATTCTTGAAGAAAAAAGGAAAGCATTGAAAATAATTCAGGCCTATTTAAGAGGGAATTTTATACCTGGTTCAAATGCCGATTGTACGTTAGCGTTCAGCGATGTCTACCAGAAATGCCTTATTTTATGAAATGGACACCGAGACACAATTCGTTAATAAATGAAGTACTAAGCAACAGAAAATGTTGGATTCACTTCTGCCAAAACACCGTGCATAACTTGAACCACGAAATGAAACAGCAATTCCTTTCTAGCGAGTCGCTTCACCATCAAATAAGATCATATGCAAATTGAATATGTTGCAGCATAAAAAGATGCGTGAAAGGATTGAATCTCCAAATCTAGGCTTTGACAAGCACGTGCTTAACAAACCATCTTATTTATGAGATTCTCCTTTGTTGCAGGTGGAAAATGAGCCATAGATTGCATGGGCTCATACGTAACGAGGAAAATGGGTGAAAATGACCAAAGCTAAGGGTACTTTGGCGAATAAATCGTCTATGAAAACAGAAGAACATAAGTTCCAAGGAGAGCGAATTTTATCAGGCAGATATTAAGTGCTGCATAAGTGAGACTAATTCCAATCAACAGAATGGAGCGAAATGGAAAACGAATTCACACTACTTGCAGCGCTCACAAGTAGAGCAGCCAGAGTTTGCAATAGGGATTAGATTGGAATGAGCAAAACCGTTTTTTTAACTGATCAGACAAATGTAACGCTTAATGAATTGGTTTCAAAGATTCGCACAACTGTTTGATGAAACAAACCACAATCAAAAATGTGTTTGTCGGGCAAATTCTTTCCTTGCTCAAAGTAACAACAAAAATATTTAATAATGCATCTAAACCGATCGTAAGCAATAAAAGACGGAGTCTTCGCTTATAAATGCAGCTAGCGATTCTAATCTTTACTGGTGTGCTGGACGAGGAACCCATTGATGAACCCGGAGAGGGTATATATTTTACGAATGCGAAAAGTTGCATACCTATAGGGGATCAGTTGACAGGATGACGAACAAAGGACGAGTTGCTATCTATTCACGTATATACGTGAACGATAAGAAGAACCGAGTTGCAGAAGCAAGGCATGAGCAAAATAGCCGAAGTGGCGAAACGCATTTGCCTTGCCTTGACCTCTGAACAAAACTTCGCCAGCGCCAATCAAAAATGCATGATGTGAACTGAACGATTAAGATAAGTGGGCCAAACAATAGCCATTAATACGTAGTTTATCCATCCAAACCTCAAGAGATAAAAAACAAGCTATAATAATTAAACTTATGTAAGCCAATTTTTCCCAAGTGATTGGCTTGTTTTTACCTCCGGCAAAAAAAATAATATCGATAAGAGAAAGAAAAGTGAGCATTCAGTAAGAATTGTTGAGCGCTAAATAACCGAGTATTGTGAGGACAGAATTATAAGGCCTAACTTTTACATTAAATCCATTAATCTTGGTATTTAATGCAGAATGGCAATGTATTTGCTTTGTGAAAAGAAAGAGGAGATAAACTCGGGTTGAACTTTCAGGAATACTCACTCCGAATTCACGGTTTCAGTTTCTTGAGCCTACCAACACTAAGCTTATCCATGTGCATTTTAAAAATATCTGCAACGGAGAGTTGTTTTAATGCGAAGGTAGGACTTGCTTCGACTTTATACCCTCAAAGACCGTTCTGGAGCGGACCAACCGATAATTTGAACGGGGATATTCGGTGAATAAATAGAAGACCATAAACGTTGTAGAGATTAAACGAAATACTCGTTGGAAGGAAATTGGATGAATAAAGGATGAGCGGTAGGAGGGGAACAAAGCGCTTAAGTTAACGAGAAAAGCTAGCGATAAACCCAAGTGAGGCAAAAATCAACCAGAAGGACTCTTAAGTGGTAACTTATAGATGCATCCATTTGCATGATATAATACAAAGAACATCACGATCGAAGACGTCAGCACCGACACTGTTGACTGACATTTTCCGACATTGCAACTTTCACTTTTATCAGGTTGGCACTTGTTCATAATAACAATCTATCTAAGTTTACCGAGCAAAGCTAAGGTTACACTAGAAGTACAACCTTGAACACATGAAAAAAACACCTTTGGTAATTCGATAAGATGGGGCCAAAAAAGAACTGGTGTGCTCATTGTTAGCAAAGATTTCT